GAGTAGTCAGTCTTCCTATATACTTCTTAGAGTACAAAATTGGTGACTCATTTCATTTTTCCATTTTGGAATGAATCTATTAATTCCAAATGCCAGACTGAATGCAGGTAGGTTTTTTTCCTCTAAAGTGCATTCCTGATAAAATCCGGAGTACTGTTAAGAACCACATTAAAATAGAAAGATTCTGGTGCAACCGCAGAACTGAAACCTGTGAAATGGAAAATCCTGTCTTCTGTAAAACTGCAAAGCCTGTTTTCAGTGTCAACAGGAAAGATTATGATGAGAGAATTGGTGAGAAGTACATGTTGTATCTGTTTATTGCCTCGGTAGAGCTGTCCTGCAAGCTGCCCTTAAGGTACTCTGGTCTGTGAATTTAAAAACTGTTTGCCTTGTTGCTTTTCAAAAAAATCCTGTGCTTCATTACCTAACGTAGTTCGTCCAGGTACCCACATTGAAAAGGATCTGCACCCCCTGCGTGCTTGGAGAGGTACAAATACGTACAGCAGAAATGTGACGGATTAACAATAGTGTGGGACTGATAGGAAAGCTAGAGTGGAAGTAGCCTGCTCTACTGTTTCATTTTGGGAATTTGATACAAAAGTATCTAACTAACAATCTAGCAGTTTTTGCTTATGATTTTTTTTCCTATCTAGATTACAAAACTCAGGATTTGTTGAGGTTTCTTGCTTTTACTTCTTTCGGTGCCTGCCATAACTGTCTTTTACTTTGTTTTGGAACTAAGATATTTCCTTATTACTATATTTGGAATTTCAGTATTGGAAGTTTCCTTCTGGTGGGAACAACATAGGGCATGGATCAAAAACTGTCAGGTTAGAAGGTTGAATTTCTCTTCTGCTGTTTTGCTTCCTGTGCCCTTGTGTATTGATCCTTTTGTCCCTAACCCCAAAAAATCTCTATTTGAAGAGAGAGACCACCAAAAGATGGGGCTTGCATTCACATTTTAAAAGGGTGACATGCCCATACAAGAGCAAATAAATGTGTGTGTAGGTTTTTAATAGGTTGATTTTTGCCTTGTATGAATCGCCACAGCTTAGAGCTTTGAACCGTGCCGTGCCTAGAAAGCTGCAGTTGAGGGCACAGCTATGGACCAGGCTGCTGTTTGGCGGGGTTTACCTTCCCGTATTCATCAACTGACATCTCTAGTTTAGCTGCATGAAGTAAGTTTAATGTTCAAAGTAACTTGTCACAGTTACTACCTTTGAAATTTTGATGTGTCGGTATTAGGATGCTTTTTCCTATAAAGGAGAGCCTTGAAAATACTGCATTTTGAGGTGAATGCCTTTGGATTTTTGGCTTATTAATATGTTTGATGTACAGATGCCCCAGTGAAGCTAATGGTGATTTAACCAGTTTCTCAGCCCTTTGTTTCTTTTTTAATTGGGCAAGGTTGCCCTTATTCAGCTAGAGATGACAATATAACAGTAATCAGTAGCCTGAAAGAAGTATAAACTCTGTACTTCTAGGATGTGGACATCATTTTTTATGGAGCTACACATTAGAGTCCTGTATGTGTCTTGCTGGAATAAGCTGTTTGGGGGTGTCTAAAGGGAGTGACAGTTTTTTCTCTGTACTGCCTGGCTCAGTGCTTCTACAATATCCTGTGATGCTGGCAGGGGCTGGTGCAAGGTATATGTGGGAGCAGGACAAGGGGAGGGGAAAGGGATCCTTATTACCCAGGATAGAGGGGATTGCTCTGGATTTGTTAGGGTAGTTCCCACAGATGGTTTTTAATGTGGTGGTAGAGTAAATTACTTCTAGCAGGGTGCATGGTGTTCCTGTTCTGCTAGCCTAAATATTTCACAATTATACACTGTTGCAACATCTCTTTTATAGAGAAATTGATTTTGACATCTAATGTGGGCTGCATGGCATTACGTTCCAAAGGTGCAAAAGAAATCTTTTAAGTCTAAATCATATGCTGTGTAAAGATTGTTCTTCTGTCCAAAGGCTTTAAAAGATCACTCTTGAATTCATCTCTTTACTATGGGGGGAGTTTGGTTTCCCTTGTAGTGCTTGCACTTCTCTCAAGGCCGCTAGTAGTTAATCTGGTCTGATTTATCCACAACCAGGTGAACCTTTCATAGCTCAGTTCAGAAGCTAATTTGCGTACAGACTTGCAGGGAGCGTGTGCCTTGTGTTAGCTTTTGAAAAGATGAGGGTCAAACATCTGGGGCTATAAGAATTTTAAGGAATAGCTTCCTAATAGGAATAGTTTATAACTTTCCCCAGTCAATTGGAAAACAAGGACTCCTGCTTGAGGGAGGGAGAGGTAGGACTGTTTTAGTGCTGGGAGTAAAGTGGAACTTGGATTGGTAACAGTGTAGCCAGCATAGGATCATGGTGATCACTAGTGATTTGTATCCAGCGTAAATGGTGTAGGAGGCATGCTGTGGTATGTCAAACCAGCTGGAACTTCCTTACCTCTGTTGTGTGCTTTCATTGCATCCAGCCACAGGTTTTAGGCTGCTGGTTACTTTGGTCCCATCTACGTTGATTTGGATGGGGTGGAATTTCCTTGCAAAGGGTGCCTTGTTGGGTTTCTGACTTTTCGTTGTTATGGAGCTCTTGGGGCGTGGCCTTGTTTGTTTTTTGGGGAAATCTGAGCAAGACCACTTCAACAGTTTACAGCTTTGTGAAACTCAATACTTTTCTCACATGTGTCTGTGTAAAAATAAAACTCCACTTTTGAACATGGCTGCAACAAAAATGGCTGGAGTTTGCTCTGACTGAAGTTTTATACACAACAGTTGTATTAATTCCTCTTCTTCCTTTTTGTCTGCACCACTGCTTCCTCTGTCTTGTTTTTCGCTGCAGCTTTTCTTCCATGCAGATCCATCAGCTTCCCAATGAACACGTGTACATCTTCCTTGCGTCTTCCAGAGGATTTTGTAAAAACCTCCTTGTTCTGTGATGCATTCAGTCTCCAGTGACCCTCTCTCTCTCCGCATAATTCTGTTTCAACTTGTACTCCTCCAGCACAATACTTTAGTAGCAAAGAATGCTATTCCATTATATTATACAGTGATATATGAATAACTAAGACTTGAAGGTTGGCCTAACCTTCAGGAAAGCGTTCAAGCTTTGCTACATGCAGTGGACAAATCTGGGAGGTGGGGAGCGAATCCTTATTGAAATATTCTTGCTTAGCATGTTTTTTGTGTGCATCTAAAATGGGTGCCAAACATAGTCAACAGGCCAGATCTAGCCCGTGAAGCTGTACAATCCAGCCCGTGGATTGCTGGACTGACTCTGTGCTGACCCCTCCACTCTTGTCATATGGTGCACGGGCTACACGCAGCACGGGGGGCTGGTATGGGGTGCCAAATGCAGCCTGCACCCGGGATCCTCCATGTTGTGCGCAGTGCTGGGTCCAGCCCACGTGCCGCAGGCAGCAGCACACTCTCCGTGCTGGCCCTAGGTGCGCAGCGAGCTCCGGGCTGGCGCATGCTGCATGCCAGGCTACCCATGCTGTAGGCAGCACACGGCAGGCTCTGGGCTGGTGTGTGCTGCATGCCAAGTCAGCGGAGGGGTTGGTCCAGTCTCAACCCCAGCTAGGCAGTGGTTGTTTGTTTGTTGTTTTTTCATGAGTTTGTATTGCTATACTCCTTCAGTCTTTTTAAATCAATTTTAAAGCTCTTTTTTAAAGTTTGGTATCAATGCAGCTACTCAAGTGCATTAAATTACTACAGACAAACTTGGGAACAAAAGTTCATAAACTGGCTGCATGCTAGGAATGAAGGACTTAACACTGACATTGGCTTTATGGCACGTTATAACCTATATGACTCCTGAATGCTTCAAGGTGGTAATGACCCTCCTCCCTTTTGATAGGCCTTGATCTCCCAGTAATCAGCTTTTCTTTTGCTAACTTGTTTGCGTGCTACTCCTGGGAATTCCTTCCCTTTCCCCTCTCTGTTTCTTACTATTGCTGTTCTGGCTTCTAAAGCTTGTCTAACTCTATTTCAGCTATGCAGTTGATCCAATAAAAGATAGCACCCAAAGAAGTCCTAATCTCTCTAATAATTCCTAGGCTGTTGCAGCCACACCATCACTCTAATGCTACCTTAAATTACTCTCTGACTTTTCATAGAATCCTAGAAAACAAGGTTTGGAAGCAACCTCAGCAGGTCATCTAGTGATTCTAATGCTGTTCTTTTGATGTGCTAGTATCGTATATTTAGTGTGGAAAGTTAAAATATAAAATTGTATAAATAAAAATCACCAAAAGTCTATTTAAATCGGTTGTATTTTTCAATCCAGCTAGGTTACTACTTTATAGTTGAAAACCCAGAGTTCTGTCGTCTTGATAGTTGCCCATTAAGTAAACACTTAGAGGTTGACACATCCATCATAATGGTTTTTTTGTTTGAAGTAATTTGAAACTGCAGACTTTCTGTGGCTTTCAATTCATTTGGCAAAAGAAAGACGGTCATTTTAGGGTGTGAGAAATGATGTTTGGGATCACTTTTATTTGGGGGCTGGGAGTGGTTGCCTGGTATCACTTAGGGCAGACTCAACATTTCCACTAGCAGCAAAACTTTTAGTTGGAGAGAACGACGGATGACAAGCCTTAGAAACCCGAAGCATTTGACAGGATAGAGTTGAGGTTGTTTGGATAGTTGCCATATCTGTTTGTTTTCAGATCGTAACTTACTGAGATTTTTTTTTTAATTTGCTTTATTTAAGTTTCTCTTGTCTGTTTCCTGCTTGCTTCCACTTTGACTAGCTTCTCCATCAGTATTTACCAATGTCCTCTCCAAAAAAATAGAGCACTTCTGAAGACTCATCAGTTTTGCTCATCACTCCAGATCTGCTTTTGTTGCATATTGTAACTTCTAGTAAGTCTGTACTGCAGGTTTTGGCAGTAAGAAGTCTGCATTGTGGCCTACTTACACTTTGCTTTGTCATTTTCATTTGTGGCACTTACATAACTCTCTGATCATGAATGTAGCTGACTATATTACCATTTTTTTTTCCAGTATGATGCTGTTCCAATCCAGTCTAGTGTGGTTTTATGTTCCTGCCCATCCCCATCAATGGTGAGGAACCAGACGGATTCCAGTGCTCCACCTGTCATTTCCACCTGTGGCAGCAGACAGGGGTCTAACATGGAGGGCACTGCAGCTGAATCAAGGTCTAGTTCAAACTCTCTACAGCAACATTCAGGACAACAGCCTCCACAGCCACGAAAGAAACGACCTGAAGACTTCAGATTTGGAAAAATTTTGGGTGAAGGATCTTTCTCAACAGTGAGTAATTTAGCTGTTTTCAGGTCCTCAACTTTTGCAAGTTTAGCATGAGATGCATCATGGAAATCATTTAAAAAAAAAAAAAAAAAAAATAGAGCTGGAAGAGACCTCAGGAGGTCATGTAATCTAGTCCCCTGCTCAAGGTAGGATCATCCCTGTCTAAACCGTTGTAGACGATTGTTTGTCTAACCTGCTTTTAAAAATTTCCAAGGATGCTGTTTCTACAAACTGTCTAGGTCAAGGGTGTCAAACTCACCTTGCCCCCAGGCTGGTTTCGGACCATGGAGTTCATTGTGGGCTGGATCCAGCCTGGGGAATGCAGCGGTAGCAGTATCAGCTCTGACCCTAGGGCATGTTGTTGTGGCAGCAGCAGCTTCAACTCTGGCAGAGGACATGCTTAACCATCCCCATAGTTAGGACGTTCTTCCTAATAACCTACCTAAATTTCCTTTGTTGCAGTGTAAGACTGTTATTTTTTGTGTTGTCCCGTGCGGCCAAAGAGAATAGTTTATCACCATCCTTTTTATAACTGCCCTACAGATATTTAAAGACTGTTATTAAATTCTCACTCAGCCTTTTCTGCTCCAGAAAAATAATACCATTTCTTCAAACCTTTGCTAGCAAGTCATGTTCTCTAGTCCTCTGATTTTAATTGCTCCTTGCTGGGCAGTTTCCAATTTGTTCCAATTCCAGTTTTCCAATTCGCATCTTTTTTGAAGTGTCATGCCCAAAACTGGACACTTGACTGCAAGTGAGGCCTCACCAGTGCTTGATAGAATGGAAGTCACAACTCAGTATGCTATTGGGTTTTTGCGATAAGAGCACACTGATTCATATTCATCTTATGGTCCATTATAACCACCAGGTCCTTTTTTGCAGTTATTTTGGTCACTGTAAGTCTAAGACAGTACTTCCTGGAAGTGGGTGTTTTTGCATATTGGTGTGTTGCAGCCAGTTTTTACTTTTTTCTTGTCTATAATTGACTAAAGAGTAGAAAACTAAAGTGTCTTCTGCCAGTTTGACTTTCTGATCATTAGATTTAATTATTGCAAAAGCCTACTGCAGGAAGTTGCAATGAAAACAGTTTCACAGTCTGTTTATTTAGGTTTTAATTCTGCACTTATCACTGGTTGTTTCACAGCATTGAAACAATATTTGGCCTGTTTTTGTTTTTCCTAAAGTTACCCTTTACTTTGCACAGAACTCCGTTAGGAGAACTTTGGAACTTAAATTGCATATGTAAATATGATTGAGGGATATCTCTTCAACCAAGCTGGGGGAAAAACTCTGGTTAAATAATAGTTTACATTACACGGGTTTGGTTATAAGTATGCAATGGGAAGTCTCATTCAGTCCTAGTATTACAATGAGAAATCTACAGTATATGCATGCTGTTTCTGTAGACCTACCCTTGAATGCATGCAGAAGGCTCCATTCTGCCTTAAGACTTGAAGCTTGAGGGCATTTTTATACATGCATCTGCCAGGTGCTTTGAAAAGCGCCCACCACTGTCTCACTTGTGTAAGTGGCAAAATATGCGTCAGTGCTGAGAAAATGGCAGCGGTGTGCTTTTGAGCTAAAACACATTGGAGGGGTGTTGGTTCAAAAGCTCCCCGCCGCCATTTTCTGCACACTGTTGCACATCTTGCCACTTACACACCTGCACATGGCGCAGCACAGTTCGCATCAGCTCTTGTGTGGAACAGACTTGATAAATCAAGTCTGCTCCAAAGCAGTGGATCTCTAGCGCGTCATGGGACAAAAAGGTATGTATGTATAAATGCCTTAAATTTTTAGAACATATTACCTTCCAACATCTGCTTTTAGCACCTTTAATGTTTATGCTGCTGTAGGGTAGTGGAATCTCTAATGCTATCACAGATATTTTAAGATGACTTTTTAAAGGTTGTCATCTGAAGGATTTGAACTGAATTAGTTTTGTGTCGCTGAAAATTTAACATGCTTCAAAACCTTTATGCTTGTGGTAAGTGGAAGCTAGACTGGGGTAGTTTTTATTTCCTTGATGAAACAAGGCTGTTATCACAATGTAGGTTTCACTAACCACAGGGTACATGGGTAGTTATTGTGGAGCGGGTGATGTGATGTGAATCCTCAACCTTCCAGCTTATTCATTTGGCCAGGCTGAAAGAGTTGTATTCTTTTCACCAATGCAGTACTTGATTATTCTTAAAAGCTTTCTATGGCAATCCCTGTGTTGGTTGGTTGGTTGGTTGTTTGTTTTCTCTCTCTCTGAATTGGAGTAAGCATCGTTGTGCTCAATTTTGAGGAATTAGTGGAAATCCAAATTTTGCCAACACTTATGCACATGAGTAGTCTAATAAGCTCAGCAGTGTCACTGATGTGCATAGTGTTACCAATATGTGCAAGTACAGGATCAAAGTTTTTTGTTTTGTTTTTAGTAATGCTGTGGACTATGGGCGTGAGTCACCTACACCAAACGTAAAAATACTCATTCCCTACAATACAGTAAGCTAGGTCTGTGTATCCAGGCCTGTTGGTGTATTAAGTAACTGAACTTGAGAGAATCTGGTCTGGAAAACTTCAAATGTTGAAATTATGACAGCATTGGAGTGATCCTGTTAGAAGTGGTGAGATTAAAAGAAACCCAGAAAAAGGAATTATGGGCCCTCAGGTTTCTTAATTGAGAATTCAGTTTTCTAGAAAATGACTGTTCTGGAACAGTGTAACTCTGCTTGCATAAACCCATTCAACCTGGAAGATTTCTTCTTAACTTCAAGAAGACACTTGCTTAAGAAATGTAGCCTTAGCTGCCATTGGGTAGCTGTCACTTCATCTCACTGAGAAATGGTTAAGCTGCTGTGGCATCTTGCTATCTCTGAACTTTTTGCAACAGTGAGCAAGCCTCATATGGTAATAAAAACTAATTCAGTGCAGAATTTTGAGAGAGCATCATGTTGTATCCACTTATCCAACACAAACTTAGAAAAGAAAAACTTACTGGAACTTGATAGGTCTGATACTGAAGCAGAGAATCTTGAATTTGGGCAAAAACACTTACTGTATATTCTAGTTCTTAGGTTCTGTGTTGTGTTTTGTGTTCATCTGATCAAACAGTTCCCTTTTTATTCAACATCCTTCCCCAGAATGGCAACAAGTAAACTCACATTCTTCTAACGTGCTACTTTTGAAGCTTGTTTCTCTCCACGCACAAAAGTAAACCTTGTGGTGTAAAAGGCCTTTTTCCCCCTGCTATTTTGAACTGTTTCACTCCACTTCATCAGTGAACTAATTTCTCCTGTCAAACTGTTGGGTACTGAGAGAGCCTTTTGACCTTAATCTTATGAATAAACTTGATTAAAGTCATCAGGGACACTGTATATCACACCAAAAGGTAATGGTGCATTCAGTTTATGAAGACCTCAGAGCAATTGTTGGCTTCTTGGGGAAGATAATCACTGATTAGTTTGACGCATTATATTGTAACTAACACAATTTTCTGAAGAGGAGAATAAGACCTAATTCATTGATTACCTGATGGTGTATATAGCCCCTACTTCAGCAAAGCACCTAAATATGGGCTGAACTTTAAATGTGTGCTGGAGTCCCATTGACATTGTTGAAATACAGATGCATATATGATGTTCAACACATGCCTAATTTGAGGGTACAGTAGTGTTTATGGTAAGGAGTTCCCTCTGTCTATTGGTACAAAGCTTAGGAGGTTAATGAGAAAATCACTGCTTTGGAATGAAGACCATTATGGCTTCCTTGCATATCTTTTTAATGAACAGTTACATTGTGGGTTCTTCCTCCTAAACCAGGTTGTCTTGGCTCGAGAATTGGCAACTTCCAGAGAATATGCCAGTAAGTAATGATTCCTTCCATTTAAGTGTTTTAAACATAACATTGAAATAGGAATCTGTAAGTATATTCTAATTATGACGTTTGGAGATCTCCTACCCCTCTAACAATGGGAGGGAGACAAAGAACAACTGCTCATCAGGAAAGTTCAACTTTTTTTTTTTTTTTAGAATTTTAGTTGTACCTAACAAATGGCTAACATACTATACAGTTTTGGAAATCATTTGCATTTTCATTGTTTATCTCTTTCTCCAAGTTAAAATTTTAGAGAAACGTCATATCATAAAAGAAAACAAGGTACCGTATGTGACCAGAGAAAGAGATGTAATGTCCCGTCTGGATCACCCTTTCTTTGTGAAACTCTACTTCACTTTTCAGGATGATGACAAGCTGTGTATCCTTTAAATTAAGAGTTTATCACAGTGCTTTGGGAAAAAAGCTAAAGAAATAGTTCATTGCAACATTCACCTTTTTTACTGTCACAAAAAGATGGGAGTGAATTTAGTAGCAGTTTCTTAAACATGGTAGTTTTTAGCTTTTAAGCAATGAGATTTTTTTCACCTGCATTATTGACTGGATACTAAGTCACAAATATGTTGAAATATTTTTAAATAGCAAGTATTGCATTCTGTTTATGTAATAGCATATTGACAAATACCAGTTTAAATGCATCTAGTTTAAACCCCAAATATGATATCCCTTAAAATTAACATCTGACATGAATGTTTCCAAGAAACTGTTTTTATAGTTGCTTTTTTAAATAAAGGACCTACCATATTATGGTTCAGTTTGGAACTAACCAGGAGGTAGACCAAAAATAGTTGACTGTTTACCTGAACTCTTCTTCCATCACTGGTACCATAATACAAATTAAAAAGTTAAACTAACACAGCTCTGCTATTTAAGAGAGAGGAAGAAAAAAAGTTTACTATATGGACAAGGACACCATCATCGGAGGGGGGAAAACAGTTTAGCTATCTTTTAATGCGACTGAAAGTAAATGATTGCATGAACAAGGAGACAGGTATCTGAAAATATCTCCCCTGATGGTTGTGAGGAAATTAAGCTCCATGTTGCTGCCGTAGGTCTTGTTTATTGTTGTTGTTGTCTTCAGAGTAAGTTTGTGTTGTGAAGTTTTAAAATATCCCAATGATACTCCTTAACTTTAGGTGCAGACTTTGGCCTTAGCTATGCCAAAAATGGAGAGCTTCTAAAATACATTCGCAAAATTGGCTCATTTGATGAGACTTGCACCAGATTTTATACTGCTGAAATTGTATCAGCATTAGAGTACTTGCATGGGAAGGGAATTATTCACAGGTAATGCACTAATCAGGTGATCTGTAATGGAGGGGAGTGTGTTCTTTTTTGAGACAGCCTTGATGTACTTTAAACCAGATATGTGATTTAATTTTTTGTCTTAGAAACCTACTAAGAATATAATGTAATTGGCTTTTTTTGGAGGATTTACATCTTCTGTAGTATTATGACCCAAACAAAGCAACTTGTGTGTGTGAATTGCAGCATGTGGTAGTCTATAAACAAAATGAAAAAAACGCCTTAGTCCAGTTTCACTTTGTTTATCTCTTGCATGTCTATTCAGTTGGACACAGAGCACAGATGGTAAATAGACTGTTTAAAGTAGACTGAATTTTCTAAAGTAGCAATGACAATGCAGTTCAAGATGCACTTAAATATTTATCTGAAGTCCCCATTTAAAAACGACCCTTTCAATGCTGAATCTTCTCATATACAACATGCACCTTTTTCTCAAAATCCAGCTGTTGGAAATGAGAGTGCATGTTGCGCGCACACAATAGTGAGAGCAGGTCTCGCTTACTTTGGGTGCAGCTGAATGTGAAATCTGTGGTGATCCTCCGGGAGCAGCCTTGGCTCCCTAGCTGCTGCTACTCAGTTACATACTGCAAGGAAAGATCTTTTTCCTGCCTTTCAAAAGCCAGGTTTGTTGTAGTATGTGACGGGTTGTATATGAGGTAATACAGCAATCAAAGTCCAGAGGTTTTTAGTAGAATCTTTAATAAGCTCTTGTCAAAAGAAAGACATTGTTGCATGAATGACAATCCTCTGCCATGGAAAATGAAATAATTTGCTAAACTTAGATGGATCAGAACCTTATTTAGTACTGTATGCAGGTGAGCAAGGGTTCTTGAGAGGATGAAGACTAAACTGTAGAAGTGCAATTGAGGAGAGACCTATTATGGCCAGAGGTTCCCAAACAGTGGTGTGTGGAGCGCTTGATGATGGTCTGCAGAGAGCTTGCTAATCACCTGGTGCTGGCCCTTCTCCTGGTTCCCCTTGCTTAAACAATCATTGTTTTTCTGTTTTAAACAGTTGTGAATGGGGAATGGTGAGCAAGAGGAAATAAGTTCATTTGACAATGAGACGATCCACTCTATGAAAATGTTCAGGGATTTGTAATTTCCTTGTCAGGGCATAGTAGTTTTTGTAAAGGTCGCTGTGTATAAGGGGCTTCTTTGCCATCAGAAAATTGTTTAATGTTTAGTGGGCAGTTGATCCTTCTAGCAGCTCTAAACTGCTGCACTGTTGGTAGCTGTCAAATTGATTATATGCTGTCACATTCAAGGTAAGCCTTAGAGGTAAGGCTCACCAAGTAACACTGTGACATGCCTTAAAACAATCTGAACAGCTGAGCAGAGGTTGAGCACTTGCTTTGAGTAGCGTGAATGACCTATGAAAAACAGCTTTCTGTGGATGCTAAAATAATTTTAAATGGTGCCTTTAATATTGGAATCAGTTGGATTTGCAAATAGCTAGTTCCATTTGCACAATATAAATAGGTGCCCACCTTGCTTGCAGGTGCTTTGAGTGACTTCTAAGCAATTATATAGTGCTGTATGCCTAGATATTGAGATGTTAAGAACAGAGAAAAATGTCTATCATTGTAATACTGACAGGATACAACAGCCATAGCAAGGTTCCTGGAAACGCTTTTTTTGGTTTTCTGATTTACTAAGAAATAGGACACCAAATAACTAAACATCTTAGAGTGGTAGTACCGTGAAAAGGGAACTATGTAAAAATAGAACCGTGTGTCTTGAAAATCAGTTTCTTGTGTATATTCAGTCAGCTCTTACTACTTTTGGCTCTGGACACTTGGTCCAATTCATTCTTCCATAGGTGTCCTATCTTCTTGGTTATGCATCATTAATAGAATTATTTATTTCTGATTGCCACCTGTGCAGGCCCATAGACTTCCAGTTCTGCTCACAGTTGTTCTCAGCTGTTCAAGTTATAGAAACATAGAAAATGAGGGTTGGAAGGGAGTCTGGGGATCTAGTCCCACCCCTTGCTCAAAGCAGGACTGTCCCCAACTACATCATCCCAGCCAAAGCTTTGTCTAGCCAGGTCTTAAAAACGTCTTGTGGGGTGGTCATTGTTGAGCTCATGCTATTTCAGACTGGCTGAAATTTTGTATGAATAATCCTGGTAACCATCTGTCAGATGTTGGTTACACTTTAAAGTTTGCAATCCATATACTTTTTAGTAGATTTTGTTGAACAAGTGGTATGGGGACTGACTCTGTTTTTATGATCGACTGCTTGTAATTGCTTTAGCTCTTTTAGGAAGATTTTAACAAAATGAACAGGCTAAATAAAATCTTGTAGCCTGAGTCTGTTTTAATTTTAACTTTGTGAATCCACCTTTTTCAGGGACCTTAAGCCAGAGAATATTTTGCTAAATGAAGATATGCACATTCAAATAACAGACTTTGGAACAGCAAAAGTATTATCTGCAGATAGTAAACAAGGTATGCAGTTGTCAGTCTCTTATCCTGTGTCTTGTTTAATTACTGTAAATGTAACTAGCTCCCTGGAAATGTAAATCTCTCAAACTTGTTAAATTGTCCTCTGCTTTGAGCATCACAGTTTTTACAGCCTCGATATGTTTTCATCAGCTAGTTTAAGAACGTTATTCCAAGTTTCTGCTTAGATTGGGTAACAAATATATGAAGTTTGGAAAAAGTAAAGTTTGTTTTTGGAGCACTGAAACATCAAGTTATGTACCAGGTGTCAAACCTTCAACTGATCTTGAAACAATAGTTTTTGTTCTGGTTCATTCTATAGGCAAAAGGAGACTTAAGTATTTCTTCAAGGTTTCTGGAAAAAGTAAAAGAAAAATTAAATGACTAAATAAAGAAGTGTCCTTAAGACTTTCAGTAAAATCTCTGGTCTTTTTCCAATTACAATTCCTTGGATGCAGGAAAAGTTAAAAATGTTTTAGGAGAGGGCAGGGGTCCAGGTTGTAGTTGTGTTGGTCTAAGGACATTGGCAGACAAGGTTTTTCGGGTAAATCTGATATCTTTTATTCGACCAACTCAAATAGTTGGAAAAATTATTCTTTTTCAAGCTTTTGGGTATAAATACCCTTTGTCAGGCTGAGGAAGCATTTGCAGTTGGTGTGGAATGAATATTAAAGAAGCCAGGGGCTGGTCTGCAGCAAGACAGGCGGTCAGTGAAGATGTAAATTGAGGAGTCAGCAGGGGAGAGACAGGCTGGGGGAAGGGGGATGAATGTAGCTGGTCAGTCCTGGAGAGGAACCTGGGTGGGGGTCGGATGTTAGGCAGGTTATAATGCGTCATTAAGTCCAATGTCTATATTTAGCTGAGAGGGCAGGCATTTTGGAGAAATTAACAATTGTAGTTACTGAAAACAGGGTGTTAAGATTTAAAATGTACTAAAACCACACTTCAGGAAGTTGAAACTACATAACTGGAATTCATCTTTCTTTGGTGGCAAATATCGCTATGCTTGAGAAGGTATTTGGATGTGTCCACTATTTGGACATTTAATTTATATTACTAATTAAGGAACAATCTCCCATACACTGCCAAGTTTGCCACACTAGTGTGTGTGACACTTCAGACATGGAAGGAAATCTTGGATATCCGTTTAAAAAAAAAAAAAAAAAAATTACTTTCCAACTGTTACTTTCAAACTCCTGTCTGTTTTGACAACTTGTTGAATGTACTTTGCTTTTTAGTAGAGTTAAAGGTAAAGATCATGTAAGATATAGGTTATAATAAACTTTTTTGTTTCCTCAGCACGGGCAAACTCATTTGTAGGGACAGCACAGTACGTTTCTCCAGAGCTGCTGACAGAGAAATCTGCCTGTAAAAGGTAAGTAGTCTTTATTGTGTCTGTAGAGAATTTTACTAACTTCTGTAAGTTAGTTTTTTCCTCCTGCTTTTAAGGAGGAAAAATGTTAACCGTTTTAAGTATCTTTTAACATCTTTATAGTTTAGCATCTCTTATTTCTAACTCTTGTTAAGATTAAAAAAAAAAAAAAAAATGTTGCTCCATACCTCATCCCTGAATTTGTTTGCTTATTCATGAGTTCTGGGGTCTGCTGGTAGACTAACCAATTCATGGATGATGGATCGTGGATGATAAATCTATCAGTAGCTGTTGAATGGAATGGCTAGGGATGTTTCCTGTAGCTTCTCTAAACCCATAATGGTGGATGCCAGGGCAGGTAATGAACAGGGATAGATCACTCGACCTATATCTGGTTCAGTGCTCTCTTCCCCTAAAGCATGCGTCCCTGCTGCTGTCAGAGATGGTGTACTGGACTAGAGGGACCATTAGTCTGACCTTGTGTGGCACTTCTTATGCAGGACTCGAAGTTTTACCATGATAAGAAAGACGGGAGAGGGAAGTCTCGGGTGAAAAGGTTGGATGTCCTGGAAACGGAATACTAAGAAAATGCACTATTTTTCTTTTTCTTGTACCTAAGTAACCAATACCAAGTTAAGGGTGGGGATAGGAAGTGGAAGTTAATCACAGGTAAGCTAGGTGAACTGCTCAGTTTAAGCTTACTTCTTGCTTCTGCTTATTATGGGACAGGAGCAGACACAAAGCAGTTGTTGCAGTAAGTTGTTATATTGTTTCCTCTCTCTCCTCCCCTCATTTTTTAACTTAGTATAATTTTACTCGCTTATATTTACACTTGTGTCTACTGTATTTGAGGTGAAGCGATGAATAGGCGAGTTTAAAGTCAGCTTTTAGAAGTCTGTCAGCTATTGCTTAGGTTTTTGGATGTGAATGAAAGGTATGTTTTGTGATCATAAGAGTTTTGTCTGAATTATATGGGGAAGAGGGAATTCATTCTTGAGTGTCTCACACAGATGTATCTTAAATCAGTATCTTGTTGCTACATTTAGATGCTTTGCTGTTTCCTCTCTGGACATATGCATTGTGTTGGCTGGCAGTGCTTTAGGAGACAAGCTGAGATATGCCTGAGTTAAGTAATGCAGGTTGGTTACTGTTACCTTTCATATATGTATGTGTATATACATATGTGTGTGCACATGCACACATCTATATGAAAGGTAACAGTAACCAGCTTATAGTACTGGACTTTTATTTATATAGAATTGCTAGCTGGCTCCTTTTTGCACTGAACATTGTGTGTGTGTGTGTGTGTGTGTGTGTGTGTGTGTGTGTGTGTACATATAGTGTACAAATCATGCTGCATGGAAACTCATTGATACCCTGACTGTTAGAAATAGAAAATAAGATATGCTTATCTGACTCCAGTTTTATAGCTTTACTGAATAGAGACATTAACCATTTTTGTTGTTGTTGTTCTTTTCTTCCCCCCTCTCCCTTCTCTTTCCTTCAACTTCTAAAGTTCTGATCTCTGGGCTCTTGGATGTATAATTTATCAGCTTGTAGCTGGATTGCCTCCATTTAGAGCTGGGTAAGAGACCTCGGATCACATTTTATGATTTGTATATACTTTAATTTGTTGTGTTTTTTTTCAGTTTTCACTATATATTGCACAGTTTTTAAAGTAAAATTTATCTCAGTACTCCTTGGGTGTTATTACAACACCTGATTTTAATCACTGTTCAATTAACTGACATGATTCATTGCTTAAAGCTAGATTGAGTCCTTGGTTCATCCACAAGAGTGCATAGGGGACCTGCAGGCCCTGGAATCCACAGATGCCTCTTGGGGTTCCCATGCAACTCGCATTACTCTGGTAGCCACCTTGTCCTTGAACGAGGTTTCAAACACCCCCCCACCCCCCCCAACAAGAGATCAGTTTTGCCCTCATGACCCTCCCTACCCCGCCATTTAATCCAAGGGGCAGAAAGTTCATGAAAAAATAGAACTAGAAAGCATCTTAAACAGTTATCTTGTCCAGCCTCTGCTAAAGGCAAGATTTATCCCTGTCTAAACCATCCATGACAGAAGTTTTCTAATCTGCACTTAACTTCTAGTGATGGAGGTTCCACAGCCTCTGTAGGTAAACTGACTGTCCCAGTGTTTCACTGCCCTCATATTAGGAATAATTTTCAGACTAGCCTAGCTAATCTCCCTTGTTGAAATGGCAGCCCATAGTAGAGCTTTACTCTCCTTTTGAGCATCCCTAGGGAGGCTGGGGTTGAACTCGACCCTTATTAGCTTTTAAAAGCCGTTATTCTTAAAAAATTAAGTATTTCTTATTCAGCTCATGTAATATACCGGTAAAGGTACTGTAGGGAGCAGATGATAACTGGACTGAATATTCTTTTTCTTGCAGAAATGAATATCTTATATTTCAGAAGATAATTAAGTTGGAATATGACTTCCCCGAAAAATTCTTCCCCAAGGCCAAAGACCTTGTAGAAAAGCTCTTGGTAAATATTCAGGTGTTATTATTGTTAGATGAATAAATAGCATAGGCCAGGGGCTGGCAGCCTATGGCTCATGGGCCAGATTTGGTTCACAGACTAATTTTATCCAGCCCACAAAGCTTGGGGGGGTTGCCTTGTATGGTGGTTGGGCAGTGGGGAGAAATAGTGGCTGTGGCACTCGGGGGCTAGGAGAGTAAGCAGTGACTGGCAGTGGCACAGGCCAGGCTGGTAGTAGCCTGAGCTTAGATGTGAGCTCTGTAAAGCGTCTCCAAGCTGCAAAACATTGCCAGCCCTCCACATAGGCTCTCCGGTATATACTGAATTGATCAGTTTTCCTAACTGTGTATCCAAATTGTTACAAACCCTTAAACTCATTTTACTCTACTAAGAATCCTTAACATTCCTGACTGTGTAGAGGGAGAACTCATCATCTGGAAAATTGGCATCTGTTATTAAACAGCTCTTTTAAGACACGATGAAGAAGCTGTATGAACATGAAGTACATCTGTTACTGAAATGGAAAAAATGATTGTAAATAATTATGCAGTACTGACAAAACAAATTTGTAGGCAGATGTTTTCAGCTATTGAACAGAAGTATCTTTGTTATTTGTAAAATATAAATTAATTTGCATTGTATTTCAGAGTACTTGGTCCATATTTCACTACGCTATTATAACAGCAACTAAAGAAATTACTATACAAAACGTTACTTGTGCAGAGAAAAAAAAGATATCTTATTAATGAGTATTCAGTCAGAAGTGAAATAAATTTTGTAGAAAATATTTACCCTTTATTTAGTAACAGTGTGTTAAAGCTGAATAGGCTAACAGTTACAGGATGAAAATCAGAAAAAGATTAGCATTGGGCTGTTATAAAGTTAGCATTCATTTTGAAACTAATTTTCATTATTATAGAGAAGTGTTAAGTAAGTTAAGTAACTTTAACTCCTTCAGGTTCTAGATGCTACAAAAAGATTAGGCTGTGAAGAAATGGGAGGGTATGAACCTCTGAAGGCTCATCCATTCTTTGAATCAATCTCATGGGAGAATCTGCATCTTCAGACACCCCCGAAGCTCACAGCGTACTTGCCAGCAATGTCTGAAGATGATGAAGATTGCTATGGAAATGTATGTGTCAATTTTGCTATATTCAACTCTATTGCAACTCCAGATTTTTCTGAAGAGTAATTATTGCCAAGCAAATGCTTCTACTGAATCAGTTTTGGTGACAGGTCAGGGTCCCATTTCATAATTGGTTGGTAGATGACCAGTAGCCATTAAGTAGGGCTGGTCAGAAATGTTGTGTCCAAACAGTTGTTTAGTGACAAAAAAATTGGAGCTTGACTAAGTTAATTTCTCCAGAAAGCAGGTATTTGTTTTGAACAAAGAACAGTATTATGTTCTGCTTGAAAACTAACACATTTTAATTTGCTTCATGTCCCATGGGGAATCCAGCTTCCCTGGCTGGATTGCAGCTTCCATGATGGACTGCCTCTCCTTTGCAGGAAGGGAGACACTATTACATCATGGGTCTTGCTGCTTTGCTCTCAAAGAACCCACAGTATCGAGTAAACATAAACCACTTTGTGTCACCTGAAGAAGCCATTTTGATGCCTTATGTCTTCAAAGTTCAACCAGCGATGGAGAGCATCTTTTGTCATACCATGAATAACTGCTTAATGTTCTAGAACTTGCATAACTCTCTGCTCAGGCTGAAGATCTTTATCTAAAAATGACCAATCCCATCAAACAACTGAACTGTAGAGTAAAGCTTAAAGTTCCATTCACTTAAGCAAAAATCCATGACTTCTTTAAGGACCTGACAGGTCCATAATGTGCTACACAGTCTCACTTTCCATGAGATTGTAGAACTTGCATTCAATAAAGTCAGATTATTCTGACTGTTTCATTATCTCAGCAATAATATCTACCAGTCTAATGCTAAAACACGGGTGAGATTCTAACTCTTCTAGGTGCTTTATTGAAATTAATTCTGTTGATGGTATTACCACAAGACAAAATAGGAATATTTTATGGGCTGATGAAAATGACAGGTTCTCTTTGTAGATTAAAATTCTTTTTGAAGTCAAGAGTACACCGGCATGTAACATCTCCTTCCCTTTGGCTTTTGGATAACAGTGTTGTAATACCAGACCAGAGAGAGAGAGAGCAGTCCGTTTATATTGCAGTGCAGAGAGACCAAGTTTTACAGGTGATAACAAGAAGTCAGCATTGTATTGATTAGATTGCAATTACAGTGAGAGTGTGTAGCGTTCACCATCAGATCTGTTGTTCTTCTTTTATTGTTGAGTTCCCCCCCTTTTAAGAGTCCTACCTCTTAATTTAGGAAACTAAAGAGTTGGAATGACCTGTTATAATTTGTCTTCCTCCTCCCTGGATTAATTGTTTCTCTAATTCAATTGCCATAACCTCCACCTTTAACATGCACTTACCATTTTGTGTTAAGCAAGTGCATACCTTCACTGAGAACACTAGGAGTTGAAGTAGTTTAATTTCCACATTGGTGGCTGTTGTTGACAAACAATAGTGTCATAGTGGATGGGTCGGTATCGACCTGGAAGGGCGTGGGCAGTGGGGTCCCGCAGGGCTCGGTCCTTGGACCGATACTCTTCAATGTCTTCATCAGCGACTTGGATGAGGGAGTGACGTGTACTCTGTCCAAGTTTGCGGATGACACAGAGCTGTGGGGAGAAGTAGACACGCCGGAGGGCAGGGAACAACTACAAGCAGACCTGGACAGGTTGGACAAATGGGCAGAAGACAACAGAATGCAGTTCAACAAGGAGAAATGCAAAGTGCTGCACCTAGGGAGGAAAAATGTCCAGCATACCTACAGCCTAGGGAATGACCTGCTGGGTGGCACGGAAGCGGAAAGGGATCTTGGAGTCCTAGTGGACTCCAAGATGAACATGAGTCGGCAGTGTGACGAAGCCATCAGAAAAGCTAATGGCACTTTATCGTGCATCAGCAGATGCATGACGAACAGAACCAAGGAGGCGATACTTCCCCTCTATCGGGCGTTGGTCAGACCGCAGTTGGAGTACTGCGTGCAATTCTGGGCGCCACACTTCAAGAGGGATGCGGATGACCTGGAGAAGGTCCAGAGAAGGGCCACTCGTATGGTTAAGGGCTTGCAGAGAAATAATGGCTATAAGCTAGGAGAGAGCAGATTTAGACTGGACATTAGGAAGAACTTCTTCACAGTTACAGTGACCAGAATCTGGAATGGGCTCCCAAGGGAGGTGGTGCTGTCCCCTACCCTGGGAGTCTTCAAAAGGAAGTTAGATAGGCATCTGGCTGGGGTCATCTGAACACAGCACACTTTCCTGCCTGTGCAGGGGGTTGGACTCGATGATCTATTGAGGTCCCTTCCGACCCTAACATCTACGAATAGTTGTGCAAATGCATTCAGTTGAGTCACTCCAAAAGTGGTGGAGTTTAATAGAAATCAAGAATGTATGAATCCTACTTATGACATAGAATAGGGTTAGTCTTTTTGTTTCTAAGATCTTCATGCCTTAGTTTCTTGGTTCCCTCTTATTCCCTGACCAGAAGTTACTGATGGTCCCCTTTTAATTATTTATTAATTCAAAGACCATGTATTTTTCTCCTCGGGCCTCCTCACTGTGGAACTTTCTACCTTTTACTAGGCAGCAACAGTGTGCCTGATGCTTTCTAAGAGCAGAGTGGATTGACATGACAAGCTTGCTCTGTCTGTCATACCCTCCAGGATGAGGGATGATGGGGACCTGCATTCCACAGCAGGAACATTAAAACATTGTGCAACCCAGAGTTCTGCATTGTGAAAGGGAACATTCCTGTTACGTCTCTTGGGGGTGTTATGTCCATTCTTCAGTTTTGCAGCGCACTGAGTATACCACATAGCAAACTGGAAGGCGAGACAAGTTGGAGGGAGCAAAAGGATGAATTTAGCAATAGAAAACTTAGTTGAAGGACATTTTATTGTAAGGAAATAATCCTTAAAAGTGTATTTGGGTACGGAATAGTCTTGGAAGCTGCAGAAGGATCATTCCTGGGACAGCTGAACAAAGCAGACTTGTTGAAAAGGGATAAATTAGATGATACAGGCTAATTTACTCCTCTTTGTAAAATGCTTTGAGATCTATGGATGCAAATCTATATAAGAGCTAAGTGTTAATTTTGTATTGGATGCAATGCAAACATAAAAGCCAGAGACAGGAAAAAATCTGAATATGAAGTTTCAATGCAATGCCAATGCCATGCCATTAGGGCACCAGTAGTTGCAAGTATTTAAACTGTTGATTTTGCTTTGATTTTTTTTTTCACGTAAGAGATGAAACTCTGCCAAATTGTGATTGACTTAATGTATACACACAAGGCATAAATGACCTAATTTCTTCTTTTGCTTTTGCTTTAGGTATTGGTATCTTATTTAGCTTTTTATGTTTCTTGTTACAGTCTGAAATTACTTCTAGCTTTAAGTTTTTTAGAGCGTATCAGTATAAATAAGTATCTGGTAAAGTTCAGAATTAAAAGCAACTGAACTCCTTATATTGAAATGTTGAGTAGATCTTTTTATTAAAAAAACAAAAAAGACTAAAATTTGTTTTTGCTATATTTTTTTCCCTTTCTTAGTATGACAATCTCCTGAGTCAGTTTGGCTGTATGCAAGTTTCTGGTTCTTCCCACTCGCTGTCTGGTCCAGAAATGAGTCCACCACAAATGTCAGGTGGTAACATCGAACAGTACATTCATGATCTTGACAGTAATTCCTTTGAACTGGACTTGCAATTTTCTGAAGATGAGAAGAGGTTACTTCTGGCAAAACAAGCTGGTGGAAACCCATGGTAAGGTGTTTAAAATGCAGTTAATCTGTGATTTTTTTTTTTTTTTTTTTTGCTTTAATAAGGAATCCATAGCACAATAAACCCGCTGTTCTTGCTTTAGTTCAGGTTAACTTTTGCAATAGAAGTCCAACAGCTGAGTGGTTAAAAATTTAATAAGCAAGGATGCCTTTCTTGAATTAAACTGGTAGCATAAATCTTTACATAACAGCTCTGTAAGTTTTTGGGGTCTGAGATCTAGTGTCATTCTTGCTTTGTCACAAGGGCCCCAGTAATAGGTTCTTCAGACTGGATCAATCTGTTTCACTATCAGAACCCCCTTGACATCAGATTTTACCCTTGATAATACTTAGGCATGACTATTAGTCCTCATTCCTAATAGTTATTAAGGTGCATATAAATGTATCTAGTTATCATAAGCAAGTAACAGTTTGGGATATGGGGGGAGGAGGCAGAAGTTCACCTAATATTTAAAGTTATATTTGTGGTTAATGGGGGTGAGGGAGGTGCACTATGTAGAGAGATGTTGCAAAGAATTTTTTTTCCAACTATTTGAGTTGGTCTAATAAATGATGTTATATTTACCAAAAGAAACTTGCCTGCCTGTGTAGAGAGAGGAAGTTGTTAAAGATTCCAAGGCAGTATAGACACTGAGAAATTTCTAAGATAAATGAGTGAGAAATAAAATGATTACTAGGGCAGTGTTGGCTACTTCTTGTGGCGGGGTTCTGGAATGACAGTGGCTTGTTCTTTTTCTCTTGTTAGGCATCAATTTGTAGAAAATAACTTAATACTAAAAATGGGTCCAGTAGACAAAAGAAAGGTAAGTCTTAATTTTCTTCTAGAAAGGTTGCAAATGATGCTGCTTTTGTAGGCTCCCTCCCAGTTAAAAGATGTAGCATTTCCCAACAAACAGATCTTTCACAAATTTAATATCATTAAGGGTGCCTGTACACAAGTGCGATGCAGCACATCAGAACAGACGGGATTAATTGAGTCTGCTGGAGCATAGTAATTACTGTGCTCCAGCAGCCTCCTGCATCTTGTGCATCAGTGTCCCCGTGCTTTGAAAAGGAGGTGGGGGAGCTTGAACTAAAGGTCATTTGAGCTTTAGTTCAAGCGCCCCCCACCTCCTTTTTGAAGCATGGGGATACTGATATATGAAATACTGCAGTGCTTTAACTAGAGCGGCTTTTGGAGTGGTTCTAATTAAAGTGCCCCCCCCCAACACCTGGAGCACACGTAGAAGTGCCCTAAGGTTGGTTGGTTGGTTTGTTTTTGTTTGTTTTAAAATGGAGTAGTCTTTAGGGCTGTGTGAAGTTTCGGTCCTTGATTCAATTCAACAGAGATTTGGCCCAATTTGGTGGCCAAATCTCCAAATCCGAATCGAATTGGAGGACCCTTTAATCTCTCCAAATAGATTCGGGACCCTCTGAATTGGTTCGGAGAGATTCGGAAAGATTTGGCGATTCAGACATAGACACGGCTTTAAGTGTTTTCTCTACATACCTCGAGGTAACAGTGGGTCGTGAATGCTGCGATGCTGGGGCACGTGGAGCATCCCACAGGAGCCTGGGGGGGCTCCTCGGCATGCTCTGCAGCAGACCTGGAAGTGGACTAGAAGTACATCCAGTCTGCTTCTGGGTACACCGGGGAGCGTGCGGGGGTGGGCCACGCCCCCCCTTCCGCTCAGCGACTGGTGCCTCCTGGGTCTGGGGGGGCACCTGGGGTCCCCCCCACAGGCGATCACTGAGCTGGGGGGCCCCCCTGCATGCTCCCCAGCAGACCCAGATGTAGACCGGAAGTACTTCCAGTCCACTTCTGCATTCACCTCCTGAGCATGCCAGGGAGGTCCCCGTGCTCCTGTGGGATGCTCCATCCACCCCAGCATCGCAGCAATCATGAGCCACGCTGGTACCTCAAGGTATGTAGACAAAACATTTAAAGCTGTGTCTATGGCCGAAATCACTGATTCTCTGAATCGGCATCAAATGTTCAGATTCGGATCTGGCCAAATCGAATTGGGGAGACAATGATCCACATCAACTAATCGAATCACTGTCTCTGATTTGGGCTGAATCCAAATCAGTTAGGGCCCCTAGTAGTCTTTTCAGTTGGAGGAATGTTGTAATCCAGCTTTCCTAGAAGCTTTCAACTCAAACAGCATTGAATGCAAATACCCGTCAACCTTCTTTATCAGTCCGAGTTGTTGAAGTACTCTGCAAAGTTTCAATTTTTTGGATAGATATCAATGTCTAGGACTAGGATTTAGACCATCATTGGGCCAAAGCAGGAGGTAGACTGAAATAAGCTGCCATTATAATAGTAGCTCTTCTTTCCTTCCTCTTCTGCATGTGATTGTGATTTAGATTATTTACAGGGAAACGGGTGGCCTTAGGATCATAGAGAAAGAAGGGAGCTCTGGAGTTGTACAGTCACTTAACTGCCCCCATGTTGTCACCACCCGCCTCCCACATGCCCGAGATTCTCTTCATCTTAATTGCTTTTTGTTTACTTCGCCCTCTGCGTTCTTCAGAAGTCCGTTGCTTTGATTGCTGACTTTACAGAGAATAAGAGGCTTTAAAAAGTAGCTTACTATCACAATGTCCATACGACTGGCCGCTTTTTTTTTTTCCTAAAAGTCAGAAAATGTAGAAAATGTAGAAAATTTGATACTTATCTGGGCTGACGGTAGTTTTACTAAGTGGTTAGATTATGGATTTGTTTAGGGACAGCGATGATCCTGCCTCCGGCTCAGTCTTGGTCTAGATGACCTGTGGACATTCCTTCCAGCCCTATTTCTCTGTTTTTTTTTTTTATGAGAGTGACTACTTAAAATGCTAGTTGTATGCATGCTGCATCGGAAATGTGTTGAGGCAAAAATGGTTAAGAATAAGAAATTGTTGTATAAAGTGCTAGCCAATGTTCAGAGACAGACTGGGTCCCTGCCTAAACTGCTTATGGTATACATTGTTTGTGACCGAGAGAGAGTGAACAGAGGGGAAATGGGTGAGGAAAGCACAAACTTGATCCAAAATGTTAGTGAAGTTATTTATTTTAATTGTCATCCTCTGTTTATGGTGATGATTATTTTGGGGAGAAGGAGTTAAAACATTTCTAAAGCAAGTTATGTAGTAATGAATGCTAGTGTAAAAGGTGATGAAAGTTGCAGACACACTAGTGGCTTGTAGGTATTACCTTTTTAAGCATGTTCTAGAAATAATAAAGAAACCAAGCAACACTTGGAAACACCAGGCAAATAAGATACTTACGGGATGCTCCAGTCTCTGAACTTGATTCAGCTGTATTCATTCCGTTTCTACTGGGATGCCTTGAGAACCTTAAACTTCTCAAAACTTATCCATGGGGGGGAAAAAGCTTTATCAGTGGCCAAATAATTTGGTATCCGTTAATTATCTGATGACTGTGTTGTCTGACGCTTGCATGCAAAAGGATTTGAAAAATTCCTGATTAGATAAACAGTACATTGATGAAGAGTATCCCACACTCTCCTGGATCAAAGCTATGATGAAAAGTACATAGGCAATTGCTAAAGTCCCATTGAAATCGATGTGAATTATGCACATGCTTTAGAAAATAGATCGTTTGATAATACATAGCTTGTTCTTTGTATTACTGCTACTCTTGTCAGGGATTGTTTGCTCGTCGGCGCCAGTTACTCCTCACAGAAGGGCCCCATTTGTATTATGTGGATCCTGTCAACAAGGTTCTGAAAGGGGAGATTCCATGGTCACTAGAGCTGCGACCGGAAGCCAAGAATTTTAAGACCTTTTTTGTTCACACAGTAAGTAAATATCCTTTCAATTTTTTTCAGGAGCCTTAAAATAACTTTAATCACCACGCATGTATTAAACTATTGGAATTTGAATTGAATTGAAACATCTGAGAAGTTTTTTCATCTTGTAAATAAACACAGATACTTAGGGTTACCTGTGGAAACTGAGCTGTGGGTCTTTATACCTTTGTATGGCTAGGAAGCAGTGAAGTGTTTAGGTCTTGTTTTGTTTTGCTTTCATTAAAGAAATAGAAACTTAAATGGATTGTGTGATCCAAAAAGAATTGCATAAAGAATTTTGTCTTGCTCCATTTGCAGTTGAGTCCAAGCACTCTTGCATATTGCAGCTCACCAGACTTATGTCAGCCTACTGTATCTCAGTTACTTACATATGTACATCCACCAGTAGTACCATTTTGCAGTGATAATGCATGAAGTTGCTTTTAATTGCTAGTCAATTTAATGTGTTCTTGAAGATTTTTTTTTTAATATATTCTGAATGATTGATTTCTTACCAGTAGCAGAATATTTTATTGCTTTTCACTGTCTTGTCTTGTCTGTTCTTGGAATAGTCATTAAACTGTTATTTACTTGTAGCCTAACAGGACATATTACCTGATGGACCCAAGTGGGAATGCTCATAAATGGTGCAAAAAGATACATGAAGTTTGGCGGCACAGATACCATCAGAATGCTGCTAACTAGTAAAGCTCATCCAAAATATCCCAGTCTCCCTACTTGCTGCTAGAACTCCACGTGCAGCCGATCAGAGGAATCTTCCCAACCCACCTGTTATCCATCTCAAGGGGAAGCATATGTCTGAAATATTTTGTTGTTTTTTTTAAAAAACAAACACAAATGGAATTCAGGGTCGCTTTGCTCGCTCTTTGTGCTTCTGTTGAGGCTTCCACATGCATATCGTTGCAGTGAAGATCTTGCTTTTGTGCACTTCGGCTCAATTTCTGCTGCAAACTAGTAGATAGACCTTGCATTACCAGCTTCACTTAAGATCAGTTAAAACCAATCCACACGCACACACCCCAAATTGTATACCAGCTCTGTATTTTATGGGGCTGGTTATTTCTGTGACTTTCAGATTATCATTAAACTGTATTTCATCAGGGAGCTTCTAAATGCCTCCACTGAGGTATAACTATTACCTCTTTTCCTCTCCCCCTCCAATCTCTGTTGCACCCCTTCTTTTCCCCAGGCTTACTGGTATATGGCATTTGCAGTCAGGTCAGTTGTACCCTCGCATAACTCCTAATATAGTTCTGGTTGCAGGATTTCCGTGGTACTTAATTATAATTATGTGAGTGAATCAGATGTGTGTGTCTGGCAGGCAGACTCTGATGATACAGGTTGTAAGAATAAAATGCTGAATTGGGCACTGAAAAAAAAATTCTAAAATGGAAATGGTGGCTTTTGAAGCTTATAAAGTTTTAAAGATGAAATTTTAATTTTAATTTGATGCATTTACATGTTTAATCAAGGGACAATAAATTTACCAGCATGCTTTTAACTAATACTAACTAAAAATGAACTAGTTAGTTAAAAACAAAAAACAAAAAAAATGTTACTATTGAAGTAGTAAATAGACTTCACCTTTTCAGGAGATGAGGGCAAGTAGCTTTCTTTCCAGGGTGTGCATGTATTGTGCATTTTAGTGGGGCCAACCTATTTACTTGGGTAGAGAAGGAAGAGTGAAAATTTTGTACAATAGATGACTTGATTTATTTGTCTTTGTATAATGAGATGTACAAATATTCCTGTCTTGGTCCTTAGCCAAACATCTCTGACCTTTTAGCAATTCTGAAAATATTTTAAACAATTTAAATATTTTAGGCCCTTACATTGAATTAAAAATTGTCAATACAGAGAACATTTATGGTACTTCAGGCATATCTATATAATGAAAACGTTTTGTCCATATCGGCCGACTTCATCCCTTTCAAATTAAGTTTTTTGTGGTCAAACATTTCCTGTAACATAGTGAAGACTTTGTTTCTACATGTTAAAAATAACTTCTCGTGGTTTGTTTTTTTTTTTTTTTTTTTTCCCCCCCCCCCATGTATTTGTACTTCTGGGAAACTGGGACCCCCTTGAAAGGGTAAATCCAGGCCTGGAAAGGCATTTTTCCTTCATGTTTTATGCAGTATAAATACCACACCCACTTGTTCATTTGCAAAGAAGTGCCTCATCTTTGCTCCTTTGCCTCTTAAATTCTTTTAGTACAATATACACCACCTGCTCTCTTAAGGAAGAAAGTCCTGCGGTAGTGTTAAGATCGTAGTTGGACTCCATTGTTGTGGTTAGCCAGAATGCCCCAGAAGTAATTGGGTAATGCTAGATGTACTCGGAGAGGGTTATTGTGGGCATTAGGAGTGGTGTATCACTTGACTTGGAGAAGATAGTTCAGGATCTCTGTGTTTCCAGAACCTTAAAAGAAAGTGTGATTATTTTTTTTTACTGCATTCTTCATAACTTTCCTTTTGGAGGGAGAACTAGTATGTAGTAGGATTCTGTACCAACAAGTCCATGCAAGTACTGACAAGTTCACTACTTGTATTGTCATGTTTGAGAGGAGCTACAGTGCTTCTGAAGTTCCTAATATAAAAGGCAAAAGTAAAAGAGAGATCTCTTGTTACAATCAGGCTAGTTTGAAAGTAACTTCCCCCCCACCCCTGCTCAAAAGGCAAAATTGCTTGCTACTAAAATCTGAGTATCACAGTACTCTGCCTCTACACCTGCATTAACCCCACAGACACTAGCATGACCAAGACATGATATTGTACTTCAGAGTTTGTTGCTGTGGTGTCAAATAATGCCAAAGCTGCCAAGCTCCACTTGTATGTCGACTCTCTCTGAGGTCAGTGCCACAGGTTCTGGATTAAAGGTCTTTTAGCACTGAGCTGTAGCTGGATAATATTGCTTTCTTTGGAAGACACTGATAAGGATGGGATTAAACAGAATCTCCATATATGCATTGCTGTTACTCGGTATGAAACAAGTGGGGCATAGGTGAGAGTAATCTCCACAAACTAATCTGGGTGATGCATATGCCTTTCACTGCCCTTTAGATGGGGGCATAGTGGTGGAAAGATTGACCACAGGGAGAAAAATGCACTTAATGTGAGAAATAGAGTCCACTGGTTTGCTGGCAGCTTAGGTACATATTGGGAAGAACTGTGTACAACAGAGGCCTGGATCCTACATGTGTTGGGTACATCTCGGGGAGAATTGGGGCTCAGCAGTTAATGTCAATGCATGGAGGAGAATGCAAATTGGAGGCATCTCCCCTGTCTCTGGAGGGAAGAAGGTTAGGTGGCCACTAGCAGCTTCTGCACACTCCTCGCTACAGCTGTCTTCAAGAGCAGAATCTGTTCATTCATTTTGCTTCCTTCCCTAAACACTTGCTATTTCCAGAAGATTGTGGGGAAAATGATGTGAATCACACCAGCAGATATTTAGCTTGACATTCTGACCCCAGAAATGTGTTCAACTCCACTGATGAATCTACTTTTCTGTTGGATGGAACCTGATGGAAAGAAAGCGGGGATATTGCTGCTATACAGTATACTTGAGCCATCCCTTTACTATCCCTTTATTCGTTCAGCCTTTCTGCACAAGTTCAAAAATGTTTGGCTAAACTGAAAGGCTTTTTTAGCACTGCTACCCTCTATGTCCTAAGCACAGTTCTGAGCTTGGTTAATTTTAACAAGATCATAGTGGCATCACTTTCTTAACTGTAACACAGCTCTGGTCTGTCATGAGCAGTTCAACACAACTGTGTGGGTTTTACGATTTGTTGTGAAACCAGTTGGAGTCTCAGGACCTTGTAAACTATCTAATGTTGCTGTTATCCCCCTTAGCACATGAACCATCTGCTATGTATAATTCCCCAAAACCTCCTGTGGTCTGGGTAAAAGTGTTATGCCCATGCATAATACAGATTTAAGTATTACACTTACAAACAGAAAAGATGTAATTTCTTCTATTAGTTTTGATGACTGGGTACGGCTTAACTTTTTTTTTTTTCTTTTTCCATAAATTTTCCCCAGTTTTGAAATGAGACTGACACCTTGTATGGTATGTCACCTGCAACCTGTAATATGACAAGCACTGAAAACGTGTTTGCATGCATCTGGGATGGAGGGGCTTGTATGAAGTCAATGCTAGGATGATCTGTGGCAGTATGGGGCAATATTACACTCATCTACTTCTGTTTTGAAGAGCCATGTAAAAGTGGAGATGGGTGTTCTTGGCTGAAAAACATTGTCTATGAGGATGGTGGTAGCTACACCAGTAAAGTGCAGTTCTGTCTTGCCCCTAACCCCAACTGAGAGCTGTCTTCCTACTTCAGCACACCTGCTGCACTTCTGCTCACCTGTGAATAAGGGAAATGGAGAGAGCTTCAGAGCTTTGGACTCTTAAAACTAGATGGTACTAAACCCTAGACCATATGTAAAAGGGAAAGACTGTTTCATTGACTTTTCTCAGAAGAGAAAGGTGGGACATAATAGAGGTCTTTCACTTCAGTCTTGTGAGATCTTGCTTGGCATCTTTTTATAGTTACCAGGAGAGGAAATTCAGAAATACCAACACTGCTACATACCCAGAGATAAGTGAAATGGTTTCATGAATGAAAATGGTCTCAAAGAGGAATAAACTGCCTTTACCACATTTTTGCCCCCTGTTAGCTTGCGGAGGGAGAGGGAGGAAAGGGCTTACATGCAAGTAGCTTGCTAACGATGTGCATGACACAGTCCTACTCCTCCTCTTGTCGAGGCTGGGTTGTTTGGTTTTTTTAGAAAAAAAAACAAACCAAAACCCTGAAGTTTTAACAAATTGGTGTGGTATTTATATCACTTTGAAGCATTTGGTGAATGCCTCAAGTATTTTATTTCTAGGCAGATATTTTACTATTCAAACTAGGAATCACTCCTGCAAGGCCTCACGGCCCAAAGGTCGTCCAGCTCTAGATATTTGCTTTGACTGAGCTTGCGGGT